CCAAACGAAAGCCCGTCAATAACGAGTTTTCGAAGTATAACTAGTCATTCATAAGATGAAGCTGCACTATCGAATATAGAGAGTTTCAAAAGTTTTATGGATATAATTGGGTGCTTTCACGAATATAGTCGACCAGAAAAACATAAGATTTTCAGAATTTTCTTTTGTCTATTGAACTTTGTAGAGCTCTCTTCGTCAATCATTTTGGTTAAAAGAAGCTTTTAAATTTCATGAACAAATAACGATACTAAAATCAAAATACTGAAAATCTAAAAATTACCCTGACTGATACAGCAAAAATGTTTAGGATGTGGGTGTGGGTGTGGATGTTGATGTGGATATGGATATGGGGTGTGTGGATGTGGATGTGGGTGTGAGGTGTGTGTGTGAGGGTGTGGGTGTGATAGGAAGAAATCACAACACCCATACCTACATCCTAGAAAAGCCATCAAGGAATAAAATTTAAAGCGTACAAAAATTCTGGTGTTAAAAATTAGTTATTGTCAAGAAACTTAGTTGATTCTGAAACTGACTCCGATGCAGGTCTCTTGTGAGCTGTTGTTAACAGTCTATTGTTGTCCATATGATTCATTCTGTGCTATGACCGAAAGTGTTTTTTTCGGAAACGATACATATATCCAATCATTTCCGCAATCGAATATCAATCGATTCACTCGCTGCAGATATAGATTCGTTGAAATACTTCAATGTCACACGAACATGCATACACATCTACTGTCTGAAAAATAGTTTCAAACCGAAACCCATTGATACAGTAAATGTAACTGCATTGAAAAAATGATGTGCTTAATAAAATATTCATCTTTTTTATGTGTCATTTATTGTGCTTTGGAGTTTTGCGAATAACGAAGAATCATGGAGAGAAGCTAAAAGTTATTGAAACCCACAGAAAACAGCTTTCCGCAATTTTTCCGTTTTCTACTTTTTGTTTCCGCTTTTTCTTACTGTGCTTTCCGCTTGTCTGGCTTGACGAGGTGGCATCCCTAATGATGTTGGTTTAGATTTCTTTTCAGAACGAGGTCTTCGATGAATTATTCGTTCACTATCGAAGCAGAGAGACTTAGCCACTGAAACTACGTAGTTTAAGTATGTTGATTTATTCTGAGCTAACTAATTATAGCAAATAAATGAGTTGGAAATAGATACATTTAGAAAATAAATAAAAATTTGAAGTCAGTTTATTTTAGACTTGCGATCAAGATTCTAGTAGGATATTCTTTGGTTGAGTCAATCAACTCCATGTACAAACTGATTCTAATCTCTTATTGCTTTTGGACAGTTAATTGTAATACGTTGACCGTTTTTCAACCTACGGGAAATCGAAATAATTTGTTGTCTTTATGATAATTTGAAGCCAAAAAATGTGTCTGGTATCCATCCATATGAAGACAATGCTGTTCGATATAATCATTGACTTGTAATCTTCTCGTTCCATTTTATCTTTCTTGACAAAATTCGACGGAATACCCACCCGATCTCTGGTCTAGTCATTCCACTGTACTTCATGTTTTGTAACTTTAGTTTTTCTAATAATCCGAGAGAAATGAAAAAGTTATCGAAATATAGATGTTTTTCTTCAAAATTATGACCACAGATAAGATTGAAAACAATATGTTTACCCAAAGGTATTTCTTTTTCACTGATTTCTTATTTTCCTAAAAAGATTTGATAGTTGAATAAGTAACCAGTCCTTGGATCACATAAACACCAAAGTTTATAGCCTCTTTTTATAGGTTTTAGAGGCAAATATTGCTTATGGCTTTACCTTCCTTTCAATTTTACCATAATTCCGTTGATTGTACCATAGCGGCCAAAATTATAATTTTTCTGAAAATTTATCCGTAAAATTTCAGTAAGATTCTTAACTTTATAAATTTTACTGTAGTGCTCAGATTCTCGTTTTGGTCCGAATGAGCTATCAGTCAAATGTAAATTATAAAAAAATTCAAGAAAACGATATCTTGACGGTGCTAGGACAATTCGTTGCAGGACAATTCGTCGCGGACAATTCGTTGCGGACAATTCGTTGCATGGACAATTCGTTGCAAGACAATTCGTTGTCGGACAATTCGTTGTCGGACAATTCGTTGCGAGACAATTCGTCGCAATGATATTATCCAATTACAACTTTCCATTATTTCTTCATAAATGAATTGACCTATTAAGATAAGTTAGAAACACATAATTCAATGAGTATGACAATTGTAGAGACTATTTTTAATCACTGAACTTTGAATTTTTATTTTGGGTTGTATTGTCATAAGAAATTCTGGTTTGATAAAAAAAATCGGATCTATTTTATGCATCACGACTAATACTGATGAGATGAAAAAACTTCAAATGTGAGAACTCATCAACACTAGTGTTAGCACTGTATAAATTATCGATGAATTCAAACTAGTTTAATTTTAAACATGTCAAATAAGAGCTGATAATTTTTAAACTAACACAATTTGTACGTTAAATAAGGATATTTAATAAAAAGATTTGATCAAAAGCTTTTTTAGTTATGCTAAAGCCAATCTTTGTTAGTGAACACTAAGTTTCACTTCTTTTCTCAAATTATTGTTCCATGTGTCGTAAATTCTGAGCTACAATAGGAATTGAAAGAAAGATGCAACGCCACTTCTGTTTCTATAAGAAAACTTTTACCGTTGACACAATTCAAAGAACCTAACTTTTTATGTGTACCAGACGATTATTGTACTGCTCGGAGCCAAAAATCAAAGTTTAGTGATTAAAAATAGTCTCTACAATTGTCATATTCATTGAATTATGTGTTTCTAACTTATCTTAATAGGTCAATTCATTTATGAGAAAATAATGATAAGTTATAATTGGATTATATCGTTGTGACGAGTTGCCCTGCAACGAATTGTCCATGCGACGAATTGTCCGCGACGAATTGTCCGCGACGAATTGTCCTGCAACGAATTGTTCGGTCACCATCTTGACATGATCGAAGAGATGCATGTATTATGGAATATCATATCTTTGCTTCAATAAAGTTTCATTTTTGGCAAGTCATTGATACCCATTAGAATAATCAACCCGAGAAACGATTCAACACCTTGTTTGCTCACATTCTTCGAGTTACTAATATCCATTTTTTGGAAAAGAGGCGCTTCAGGAAAATGCTTATAACTTTTGAACGAAATGTGATAGAGACCTGCGGTTTTCACCGTTGGATAGATCCTCCTACGGGACGAAGTACTATCGAATAACCAGATATTCCAATTAGAATTATCATAGTAGATTTTTGTGTATAAGTTGGATAAGAATGCAACTCTCAAACAGCATAATGAAATTTAACTTTAAATTAGTGAAATGGATAGCCCGAAACGAGATCTTTAATTCTGCACAAGGCGCAGGTCTCTATCTTTTATCGTTGAAAAGTTATAAACATTTTTCTGTAAGGTATTTTCTCGTATTTCGTACGCAAATAAAACTTCTAAAAACACATGATATATAGCTTTTTAGATGTTTTGAGCATGGTAGCACTGTTTATTTGGAGTTTGGAAAACGTGTTTAAGTCTGAATTAGCGTCAACAGAAATAATAGCTCAGCGCCGAACTGGCAATTTAGCACCACAGAATAAAACGCGTTCTGTAAACATTTATAATGAAAATTGTGTGACACTGAGTTCTCATTAGCCTTACTTATACAAAATGCGGAACGTCTGTTTTATCACGTGGTTCAAGAGAAAGCATTTGAACTTCAGTTGTTAGCCATCTCGACAGACAGCTGGTTGTTTACTTTTGATAAAAATATAACAACAAAAACAAGTGTCTTTGATTCTACTATTTTTTTCTCGTATAATATTTATGTTTTTCAATGTATTCATTCAATAATCAGTCGTATTATGTAGAACCAATCAAGTATTATGCCATCCAACTGTGAGTCATGTGCTTTTCCTCTACCGACAATAAGTAAGTATTCATTTTTTGAATCTTTTTTCTCTTAACTACGCCGTCATTAAAATGTTATTTCTGGTACAGAATGTTTGTGTATTACAAAACGAGCATTACGCCATCTGTGAGCGACCTCTGTCTCTCTTTCGAGTCATCCATTTTCATAGTTGGCTGAACTAGAGTGTGGGTGTGGGTGTGAGTGGTGTGGATGTGGATGTGGGTGTGGGTGTGGTATGGGGTGTGGGGTGTGGGTGTGGGTGTGGTATGGGGTGTGGATGTGGATGTGGGGAGTGGGTGTGGGGTGTGAGTGTGGGCGTGGGTATGGGTGTGGGTGTGGATGTGGTTGTTGATGTATGGATGTGAGTGAGCCTGTTCTCTACCCTGAAAGCTATAGCCACACCCACACCCACACCCCCTCTTCTTTTCTTCTTTTGTTTGGTGATATCTTTGTCTGTTGGCTAACAAAAACACTTCTTATCTTTATTTGCTATCTTCGTGTTCACAACTACTACTCTTCATTAACAAAACAAAACAACAACTGACTATATAGTCACACATAGCGTAACACATAAGTGGGCCTAGTGACCAATAGAGAGATAAAAGAAAGAAGAGAGGTAGTGGTGAGAGATAGCGCCACTACCTAACACCTCCACCATTTATCAGTGAACGGTTTTATCTGTTCACGAAAATAGATATTAGACAAAGAAGCAGAAAATAAAACGCATCCAAGATTACACGAGGTGTAATAACATCATAACTGAGAACAAAAAATTAATACAGTCAATATGAAAAATAAATGAGAAGGAACGATAGTAATTCCGTTGTTGTTGGGTTTTTTTATCAACATAAGTATATCATGAGATATGGTTTGAGTTATATGAAAGTGTAAGTTCATTAGGAGGTAATATGTTAATTGAGGGACCGTATGTCGTGTACTGGTACTTATACTTGATGACTGGTATTATCGTTTGGAACAACATAGGTTTTATCATGCAATTGATCGAGAATGGTGTAGGGGCCAAGGAATCGTGGGGAAGAACTTGTTGATATGTGGATTTCGATTACGAACTAAGACGGATTAACCAACAGAATATCGAGGATTCGAACGGTTTTGATCATAACGTTGTTTAGAAGATTGTTGGGTGTGTGAAGATTGTTTTGTCGAGCAGCAATTTTTGTATATTCAATAAATTGTTGCATAGTATGATGATAATGAGAAACAGTATGAAAACTTGATGGAAATGATGAGGATAAATCAGCTACAAAACGAGGTTGACGAGCAAACATTAATTTGAATGTAGTATAACCAGTAGAATCATATCGAGTAGCATTATAATTAAAAGTTGTAGCGACTAATTTATCATCCCAATTAGATCGAGATTGATTGGAAAATGCAATTAAATTAGGTCCTAGAGTTGCATTATGTCTTTCGCATTGACCGTTAGCTTTGGGGTTATAAGGTGTGGTTTTAACATGACAACATTGAGTTAACTTGAGTAGGGATTCATACAACGAAGAAGAAAAATGTGTACCATTATCAGTAACAATTTCAAATGGAACGCCATAGATCATAAAGACATCATATAATAAAAATTTCACAGCTGTTATTGACGTATTATCGTGGACGGCTTTGGTGATGACGAACTTCGAAAATAAATCGGTCAGTACTGGAAAGTATTTATTACCGGATTTTGATTGAGAAACAGGACCAACATAATCCATAGCAAGATGTTCCCAAACGCCACGAGATGGTTCAATTGGATGTAAATGACCATCAGATTTTCGACGGGAAGGTTTATTCTTTCGACAATTAATACACGATAAAATATGTCGTTCGATATCTTTGTACATATTCGGCCAGAAAAAAAAGGGCGTGTATCTTGTAAAAAGTGCGTTTAATACCGAAATGGCCACCACTGAATGTCGAGTTATGATACATTAATAATACTTGAGAAGTTAAAGAAGCAGGAACATAAGGTAATTGAAGAACATGACCATTCTTTCGAGTAATAATTTTATAAAGGATATTATAATCATCAAGTGTATATTTAGTATTTAATGGTGAAACATTTGTTATTGCCTGGATAGTAGAATCTTGATTTTGATGTAGATTTAATGTATCGTGATCGAATGAAATATTAATGTCATTAAGAGATGAAGAAGAAGATGCAACAGGTGGAGTAGATCGGGATATCCTAGGTAGTGTTGTTGTTCTAGGAGAAGATGATGATGAAGTTGTTGTTGAAAGAATAGGAGGTGGATGTTGTCGTGTCATTGAACGAGTTGTAACAACCTTGACGAAAAGATCTTCAGTTTGAGTTGAAGAAGTAACAAGACGAGGTGCATCTTCGTCATTAACACTAGGTTGATCAACTGAATAACGGGAAAGAGCATTAGCAGTTGTATTATCTTTTCCAGGTATATGTTGGATAATCATATCATATTGTTGTAATGTTGTCATCCATTGTTCAATACGAGCATTATGACAAGGTTTTTTCATTAATGATATTAATGGTTTATGATCAGTTTCAAGAAAAAATTGTTGACCTTCAATATATGATCGAAATTTTTGAGTACCGCTCCACCAAATAGCTAATGCTTCAAGTTCAATAGCAGAATATTTTTTTTCAGCTGCTTTTAAACTTCGTGATGCAAAAGCAACTGGTTTATATATTGATGTAGTTGATTTATCTCTATAATCAGGAGGTTGCTTTTGTAATAGTACAGCACCTATACCAGCACGTGAAGCATCTGTACGAATAACATATGGTTGTGAAGGATCAGGTAGAATAAGAACCGCAGGAGAGATGATAGCGTCTTTTAATTGATCAAATGATAACTGTTCTGCTTCAGTCCATATAAATGGAAAACCTTTCCAAGTAAATTTATTGAGTGGTGCTGATATTTGAGAAAAACGAGGAATAAATTTTCGATAAAAGCCAACCATTTGTAAAAAAGAATGAGCAGCTTTACGGGATTGTAGTAAAGAAAATTGACTAATAGAACGAATATTATCATTATTAGATGAACAACCATCAGCATTAATTTTATGGCCAAGAAATGAAATTTCATGTTGAAAAAATGCACATTTATACTAGTTTTATTTAAAATTTGAAGCATGTAATACTTGACATACTTGATTTACGTCTGAAAGATGTTGATCAAATGAAGGGGAATAGACGATAATATCATCCAAGTAAGCGAGACATATATCCCAACGTAATAATCCAAGGGTTTGGTTCATTAATCGTTGAAAAACTGATGGTGAATTTTTTAATCCTTGAGGTAATCTGGTAAATTCCCAAAGACCATCAGGAGTTGTAAATGCAGTTTTAGCACGTTTCTCAGGTACTAAAGGTACTTGAAAGTGCCCATTACGTAAGTCAAGTTTAGAAAATATTTGAGATCCATTTAAACGCTCAATAACATCATCGATACGAGGTAATGGATAAACATCTTTTTGAGGAATGAAATTTAAACGCCGATAGTCTATGCAAAATCTTGGAGATCCATCAGATTTCTTAACTATAACAACAGGAGAAGCCGAAAGGGAATTCGAAGGTTCAATAATTCCATTATCTAACATTTTCTTAACTTCATTATTAATAATTTGTCGATTAAGGTGTGAGACTCGATGAGGATGTTCAGCTAAGGAGAATGAGAACCGATGTTCATAGCGTGTTGTGGTTTACAGGTAATGCCTTGTAAAAATGAATCATAAAAAAGTTGTTGATAGTGATGTAGCATGAGGGAAACTTTCATTTTCTTGACAGGATCATCGATATGTTCAACTAAGGGAGGAATAGTCTTTGTTGTACCTGTTAAATCTTTATTACAACAATGAAACAAATGATCATACAATGTTAATTCAGTAGAAAAACGAACACCATAATGGTTACATGATAATAAAGATAAAGATGAAGAAGAAGAATCAGAAAAGTTCATAGGTGATGCATGAATGACGTTGAGACCCGCTGTTGCAGTTGATGAATAGATAAAACCAAGTGGAGTATTACGTGGAATGTATTTTGAATGACGAGTATTATTGATAATGGAAATAACATCACGATTATCACGAATATGAAGAAGTGAATGAAGAATTAGGACCATTCTAGCATGTTGTAGAGCAATAATAGGTGTAAATAAGGCATCGTCTAATGATTTAAGAGGTACATAACCATATATAAATTTTTGATGAAATGGAGGAATAACAACAGAATGTGATAATGACATAATTACTGGTTCACTACGAGATATAGGTAATAAAGGAGTTGAAGCAAGACCATTATAAAGATAAATACGATTGGTACAAAAATTAACATTAACATAATTTTGTTGAGTCCAATCACGACCTAAAATCATAGGACAAATAAGATCACGTGTAATATAAGCATCAATATGTGTATCAAGATGATGAATTTGAACAGTAAGTTTGACTATGCCAAGGAGAGATATAAAGCCACTATTGACAGTATGAACTTCTTTTAATGAGCAGGGCATGATGGGTTGGTGTTGCATATTGGATAATGTTTTATCATGAATAAAAGAAATTGCAGCACTAGTATCAACTAAAATTGTAGTAGGGACATGATTGACTGGAACATGAATTGAAGATAATGATAGAGGAAGTGATGGTTTCTTCTTTTTTGTAGAGGTACCACCATCTTGATACCTCTTTAGATGTTTTTTCGGTTGGGGCAGTATTTGGCAATATGTGCAAGTTGATAACATTCATAACATTGACATGAGGCAAGTGATGAAGATGTAGGTTGAGGAACAGAACGAGAAGTTGAAGATGGAGACTGGTTATAAGTGAATATTCAATTCATAAGTGGTTGTGGAGATGATGAAGGTGGTTGCCAATTAGAAGAACGTGTATATGGATTGGTCGATCGTTTCACGAGTGAAACTATCCCGTCAATAGGATCATCATCATCAGTTGGATAAGTATCAGGTGAATTGATTGAAGCATGTCGTAATTCATTTAATGTAAGTTGTATTTTTTTCTTCATCTTGTGCAATGATAAGAAAATCAGCAGGTGAAGCAGGATGACGATGAATAACGTGAGGGACTAAAGAGTTATTTAATCCTTTAGTTAAATGATGGAGTATCATTGCCGAGCTCATATTCAAATCAGCTTGTAAACATAATTGAAGTTTATCATGATAATATGTCATAACAGATTTATTTTAGGTGATTGTCGCCGTTTTTCCATTTTTAATAAGATTTGATTAAGTGATGGTTGATAAGCTTTAACAATTTCAGCTTTGAATATGAACCAATCAGTAATACTAGACTTGTTATAACGAAATCATTTTTCAGCAGCATCAGTGAGATACGATTGTATGGCAATAAATTTATTTGATGGTTGTAATTGTGCTCGATCCGATACTGCTTCTATATCTTGTATCCATTTAATAACATCTTCATCTGGAGCACCACCATATTTAGAAAGATTTCTAATTTGTTCTTTAGCTAAAGTATTCATAACTTGCTCTTCCATAACTGATAAAAATGCTGGATGATAAACAATGTGATTGACAGAAAATTCGGAATAAGGAGAAAATTCAATATTGATATCAGTTAATCGTTTTGCTTCTTGTTGAAATAATTGTTGATAATGTGAACGGGTTATAACCATATAAGCAAATAAATGTAATGAATAAGCGAAAGACCAAATTAAATATCACCATGAAGGAGTAAATCACCAGAAACAGATAATAATGGAATGAGTAAGTTCAATACGAAAAAAAATAACGATTATCAGGAATTGATAATAACATGTAATAATCAATAGTAACTTGAATATCAAATGAATGAATGTGGAGTAAGAATCACTAAACAGAATAAACCGAGAAAAAAAAACAAGCAAAACCTATCGTAGTCGACGAAAAGTTGTCAACATGAGTCACGGCACCAATTGTTAGTCTGTTGGCTAATAAAAACACTTCTTATCTTAATTTTCTATCTTCATGTTCACAACTACTACTCTTCATTAACAAAACAAAACAACTGACTATATAGTCACACATAACGTAACACATAAGTCGGTCTAGTGACCAATAGAGAGATAAAAGAAAGAAGAAGAGAGGTAGTGGTGAGAGATAGCGTCCCTACCTAACATGATAACAACTAACTGTCACTTTAATTAAGCGAACAGGTTTCATT